TTTTCATAAGACTTTTCTACACCAATTTGAATCAACCAGCTATAAACCACTTTCATACTCATATTCTTAAATTCCCACTTGAATGTGAACCAAGTTTTTGGCACAACTTTCAAATTATAACATAAGTGAACACTAAGGCCATCTCTAATCGAAGGGGCTATGTTTAGCCTTGTTCAGAGTTATAACCCTACAAGAAATTATTTTTAAATGAACAGTGTCAAACCACATTTATATATCATCTCCAACCGAATGAGCTATTTTTGAGCCCCTTTATTATTTTTAAGTTTGTTCTTTAACTTTATTGGTTAATTGAATTAAGCTACCATATTAAAATCAGGTTATCTAAACATATTTTGAGTGTCACTTGTCACTAAATGAATAAGCCTCCGGATTTCTTATTTTTATATAATCCCAACAACTTAGATAAAATTCAAAGATCACAATTCAATTGAAATACATCTTAAATAATAAAACTACACCAACTTAATTAATATTAAAACTACAACAATTTAGATATTAAGGATTACAACAAATTAGGAGTTTAAAGAGTATGAAGAATTAAAACAAAATGATGTAAGATAGTATGGAAGGGTGAAATGATGTGAGAAATGACTTAGGTATTTATATTTTTTTTAATTTCGTCATGATTTTTTTTTTTTCAAAATATGACGTCAACTAACAGCTTGGGCTCCTCAAACGAGCTAGCTGCTGGACTTGCCCAGCCCAATGGCCAAAGGGCTTGAGTTTGGCTTGGTGGGTTCCTTTTTCTTTTGGTCCAGACGTCCATTGAAGATATTTTTTTTTTCTCATTTCAGGCTATAACACAACAACCTATAGCCCTGTGGTCTGATTCATTGGAGATAACCTAAGTCTTTTCATTAAAAGAGTTTATCATCACAAACATTCTGCCAATGCATTTCAAAATATAGAATCAAAGAACCACTGTTACAAACATAATACAAAACGGATTCCAAGATTGCTATATCCAATTTGCATAATCAATGTTGTGATCAAACTGATAAAGCAAACTCAATATAATTTGCTTCAACTTATCTGGCCAAACTTAACAACTATAATGTTAAACTTCAGTTAACAGCAAATTTTATAAACTTTCACATTACTCTAGCACAATGAGTAATAAAGTAATAATTCAACCAATTGGTTAATCAAACTACAACTTGATTCATAAGCATCAAAAGGAATTATAACTTCACAATATTAAGCGTTAGTTAATAGCAAGTTTGTTAACCAATAGTCATTTTAACACTATGAACAACTTATCCATAATTCAACAAATTGCTTCAATAAAACCACAACCTGGTTTCCAAGCATCCAAATGAATCATGATACCAAAATTAATAGTCGGTCTAAATACCCTTAGATTTATGCTCACATTTGAACATATGATTCTCCCACTTGAGCATAAGTTGAAGTATCATGTTACTGATAAAGAAATCAGAGCTATGAACCAATTGGTTCTCTATTTCTCACCAAAACAGATAATACATAATCTTAATTTAATCATATAAACTTAACACCATTATGCAACCAGTTTATGTATCAAATTAAAGATAGTCTCAATCATAGGATTAACTCATCTCACATAAACCCAAAATTACCAGTTTCAACAACAACCAAAATTAGAATAATAATCACAACATTTTTTACATTTAATTTGATTCTAACTGGTTCATTATACATCAAACAAATCAACCAAAACTTTAATGATGTCTAGACATCGTAATAATATATCTTGATTAAAATGAGATAATCAAGATCTCTTATCTTTTGAAGGAACTTAAGATGATCATCCAACAAATATTAGTATACATAATACATTAAAATCAAATCACTTGCACTAGACAGTAGCATATATACTTTTTCCTATTATAACTTTGGTCTAAAACTTTTCTTATGGTGAAGTGACCCAAAATAGTAAGGCAAGTAAATTTGATAGTAGCCAATTGCATGATTACATTATGCCATATAATCTTAACGGTGGAAAAATCCACAAACACTTCCCATATATTCCATCCATACAATTACATGAGTTACAACACATACTGAATCCTTTCCCTAAACACTGATTGTGGATGATCCCCGCAGCCATGAAAGCCTTAAAAGCATACTCTACCAAATCATCAAAAAAATATAATAGCATTTGGAAAAATTTATTGGAACCCATATAACTTCTTTTTATACCCAATTCAAACTTTAAACTTGAATTGTCTTTTTTACCCTATAACATAATTATCATTAAGTACAAAATAAAATTAACAATAAAACTAAAATTTATTAATAAACCCACACCCAATTTAAGAGCAAGAAAAGTAACCTGGTAAGTGCTCAAGTTGGCTTGTGCTGCTATTGAACATATTTTTAAAATAGGTATATGTATATACAAGAGTATTGGACTAGTGGCAACAACGTTGTCAACCAGGGCGAGTTCGTCATTGTTGTGCGCTATGAACCAAGAAATCAGAAGAAATAGGAACTCAAGGGTAGTCTTTAATCTATTGGGCAAATGAATCTTTGGCGGCAATTACATATTGTCAACTTGGTAAGTTTAAAATGTAATGAATTTTACATGGTTTTTAATTGTTTTGAATGGGTGTAAAGATAAATTTACATATTGAATTGGGTTGGGAGGGTAATTTAGGTAGTAAATTTGGGTTTAAAGAGATATCAATAGTTTAATTAAAAATAATATGGGTTTAGAGAGTAAATTAGATGTAGAAAGAAGTTATATTCGTTCAAATAAAATTCCCCAAAGCCTTTAGATGTTAATCGATTAATGTAAAACATACTATATTTTTACGAGCAATCCTACTTGAAAATCAAAAGGAAAACAAAAGGAACTGGTAGATTCATAATTTCCGATACAATACTTTAATTTGAATGACATCTAAATTGAGCTAACTAATAGTATACAACCATAAAGTATGGTAGCCAAAAGTACAACAGTTGAGTCCAAAGCCTTATCAAAATTTAAGTCTTTGCCATGAATCAAACTTCACCAAAAACTCTAAAATTAATAGCACGCAAATTTGGAAAAAAAAAAAAAAGAAAAAAAAAAGAGAGAGAAATAAAGAACCGGCCTGGGACTGGGAGACTTCTATAAAGAGGAGGCCCAAAGGAAACCAGCAACAATTTAGATCAATCCGGCCCTTTATCTACGGCCCAAACAAATTAAAGATAGAAAAAATGTTGTGGAAAATAAAAAGGATTAGGTACCTTAAATCTCCTAACTTTTTAATGTCATTCCAAATTAATTTTAATCTTTTTTAGCATTCTAAAAAGTACCCAACCTATTGGTAATGTCACATCAGTTAAGCCCTAGTTAAATTTCTGTTAGATAACTAGGTGTTACTTTGTCTGCAAAATCAATAGAAGGTCATTGAAGCATAGCCTCCACCAACTAATAGTCACCACCACCCCCATCAGGCCATCACCTCCAAACCCAATGCACAACCACCAACTTCACACTACAACTCAAGCCACCAACATCGAGAAAAAGGTCATGGAGGTTGCTATAATGGTATGGACTCCCATGATGCAAAAACCACCATCTTCATCGCCCACAAAGAAGAACTGGAAGCTTTACGAACCGAGAATCATAAAGTGAGGAAATTAAATGAGTAGAAACAAGCTCATCGATACCCTATATGAATTATTAACCATCTTCTTTGTTAGGAGATTTCCCTCCTAATATAATTTCAATTTGGGTTCATTTTTTATTCAATTCAATACCCATTTAATCATTGGGTGTTATATTATATAATCTCAATTGAAAATTTATATTTTGAGACAACTAATATTACTGTTGACCATGATATACCCAGTTGGTGAGTTCTGAATATAAAAGTTGTGATGAGGTTTCGGTGGCCATAGGTTGAGCTTTGAGGTGGAGGGGGCTTTGATATTTCCAATTTTTTTTTTCCATTTTATTTGTGAATTTATTTATTTATTTTTATTTTTTCATCTTCATGTCTTTTATGAGGCTATTTAATTATTATATTAGTGTCCAAGTAAGCTAAAAAGTGAGACCCATTGTTGCCACATAGACCTTAATGGATGTGACATTTTCAATAGGTTTGGTACTTATTTGGAATGTTTAAAAATGTTGAGATCAATTTGAAATGACACTGAATGGTTGGGAAACTTTAGGTACTTAGTCAAAATAAAAATAAAAGTGCTCTTCAAAAAATCAAAGCAAAATTACCTTTTTAAATAGATGAATTGTGCTTATGCAAACTGAATGCTAGTTATATATGTTCCTATATTTCTAACAGCAGTCCTCCATGGAAGCACCGCCTGATGCAAGGAGGAAATCTGATACATTTTCTTTTTTCTAAGCTGATTAAACCCAGGAGGCAAGGAGGAAATCTAATACATTTCCTTGCTTGCTAAGCTGATTAAACCCAGGACCACTAACCGATCCCATGTGGTTGCAATAAATCAGGGATACACAACTGAGAGAAAGGAAAATACCTTTACTAACCAATTATTTGTTCGGAATTCGATCCCTAATTACTCATGAAAAACAACTCAGCTAATAACTTCACTATTGTCCTCTAATGGTTGAAGCACAGAGCCATATCATATACAAAATGCATTTTGTTAAACAGAACGAGATTCAAAGTTAACAAATAAACGTAATTACTCTAAAGTTTGAGGAGACAACGCTTAAAGATGGAAAATTGTGCTCATATATCCAGTCCATGAAGAGAGAAATTGTCGCACGATATATTTATACTAAGAGATGAGAAAAATAAACTGGTTTTAAACTCATCATTCACGATATTCAAACTTAAGATTTATGACCTATAAGCAAAAGAAGAATATCATTATATAATACTGGCATGGTACATGCATTGTTGTATCTTCTACTTCATGTATACATTTATCTAGGATTCATCTGTCACATTTATCTAGCATTCAGTGTACACTTAAGGGCGGCAGAACTTTTGGTTTCTTGATCAATTTTCAAATTTTATTTAGAAATATATGTAAGGCTCTCTCATTAAGAATGCTCTTTTCCACACAAATTCAAGGCATTCTTAGATGAATACAGAGTTATTCTTCAAGTATTTATACTTGAATTATACGTACTAATTATTCTAGTTGCCTTATGTCCTGCGCCATCATGAGATCAAATTTGATACACAAATTCGGTGTTCCCAACACTACCATCCACAAATGATTTGATTTCTTCCGTATTGTTTGAGGACTTCTTGAGGAAACTTTGGAACCAGTACGTTGAGGATTTTGAGGATCTTTGTAGACTTTCGTAATCTACATAAATGATACCAAATCGAACAGTGTATCCATCACTCCATTCAAAATTATCTAGCACTGACCATGCAAAGTATCCCTTCACATTAGTACCATTTCTGCACACACGCAGAAACGTATAAAATGCATTGATGCAAAAATCAAGTTTAAATAACCATACTCAATTTTTTAACAAAAACTTACTTGATTGCTGCTTGAACGTAACATAGGTGGCGATTATAGTAGGCAATTCTATTGGTATCATTAAGGGCTTCGGGTAGCGGTAATGTAGGATCATTGAACTCATCAACCCCTACAATGTAATGCACTATCATATGTATTTAGTTTTCTTTATTAAGCGATATAAAATTATTTTTAAATTTAGACTTTACAACACTTAGTGTATTTTAAACCATTACATTATATATAAAAAGGGTGAAGTGCTGATTTAGTATTTAAACTATCATCTCAGTGAAAATTAGGTCATTGAATTATTTTTTTGGCAAAATAAGTCCCCAAATTCATCAAAAATTGCTAATTTCACCCCTAATATTATATTCAAAGCTATTTTATCCAATTTTTCGTTACCTTAAATCACTTGACACACGTTAGAGTGTAATACTGTCATTTTTTCGCCTATAAGCCCTTAATATTCATATAGGTTGTGAATCTAACACTTAATTTACTCTCCAAAGTTAACTTTATACACTATTTCTTTAAGAAAATTACTAATCTACCCTCCAATGTGTATCACATGCAAGTAACGTGACTTAAATTGATGGAAAATTGATAGATTTTTATAATTTAAGGACTGATTATCTAGGAAAAAAAAATAGTTAAGGGACCTAATTTTCACTCAGGTGATAATCCAGGGGATAAATTTGCAGTTCACCTATAAAATATGAAATATTAATGATGCAAATAATTTAGGCTTCAAAATATTCATTACCATTCTCTGTAATGTAAATCAATGGGTCATTATACTTTTCTTTCGTGTGGAGTAAAAGGTCTTGAATTCCTTTTGGATAAACATATAACCAGTCAGAAGCAGCCTGCACCTCATTAAAAGATGATTGAAATGTTAATTGAGGGGTTAGGTTTGTATGTGGATAACAATAAAAAAAAAAAAATCTTAGATGCTCTGGAATGCTCTGGAGTACTCTATACTCCATGCGTTTTGATCCTTAGATCTTAATTTTTATATAATGATTAATGGTTAAAACACCTGAAATATCAAATACTCTGGAACACCCAAAAAAAATTCTTTTTATTTATTTTAAACAAATGGTATTATCTACACTAAAGGGATGGGATGAGCTTAGCCTCACAATGAGCTAGCAATAATGTAATTCTAATTCGCCTTTCGCGAGAACCGAACCTAAAACCTCTCACTTACAAGTGAAGAAGAATATTATTAGACCATAGCACTAAGTGGTAACACCTAATAAAGTATTGGATCACATTATATTACACATCCATATATTAATAGCTCCGACTAAGAATTTGATATGTACCTGTGGACCGATGGGGACTCCATCAAGCTCAGCTGCCACAATATGTATGAATATAATCAATATTTTATAACCTAATTATTCTACATACATCATTAATGGCTCCAAATAAGTTTGTAATTCGTACTTACTTGTAACATTAACGCGAGGATCTGTTACATAGCTTGGATTATCAGAACAATTGTAAGATGCATCGCTTGCATATCTAGCAGAATAGTAATTTAGTCCAATAAAATCATATGAGCCACTTAGCAACTCGGATTGTTCTTTCGTAAAACTTGGTAATCGCTCTCCAACAATAGCTCGCATGGTTTGAGGATAGTCACCGTGTGTTAGTGGGTCCATGAACCTGAAGAAATATGAAAATTCCAAGCTCAAGATAATACTAGCTAGCTAGTCAATATTTCAATTTATAAGCTAAAAGCATTAAATTTTGTTGATCAATTAATTACAGATATACTTGCCATCCAAACATAAAGTCTAAAGCTCGAAGTGCAGCATCTCTATCCCACTGTGTCTCTGAAGCTGGCTCAAACCAGTATGACACCACTGTTATTCCTATTGTTCCATTTTGACATGCCTGCATAAGAAAACTCAAGAATTCGTTTATTTACAGCAAGACAAAAGAATAATCTTTGTTTATTTCATTAGACTAACTATTCCCTGCAATGTTAATTATAATTAAAACTAGTGACTGATATAAAATTCTCAACTAGAACCCCAAAGATTTTGAAAAAGAAATTAGTTAACTAAACCTGGTATTTATCCTTGTACAACTTTACAGCGGTCGCATGAGCAAGGAGTTGGTTATGTGTCACAGTGTATGGTTCAGTACTTGAATCTCCACCGGTGCAGTTTGGGTTATACCAAGCAGAGCATCGTCCTGGTGCATGGATTCCGATTGCATAACCATGATTACTCACGGTACGTGGTTCATTCAACGTGATCCAATGTTTTACTCGATCTCCAAACTGATCAAAACAAAGGTCTGCAAAGTCTTGAAAATCATTGCTGTAGTACGCATTTCCAAACATGTTTGTTATCAATCAATATATAATCGTATTTCTTTACTTACAGGATCAACAATGTGCAAAGGTAAATTTATTCACTTACACAATTCGAGCACTTAAAAACCCACCATATTCGTCTACTAAAGCTTGGGGAACGTCCCAATGAAAGAGCGTCACAAATGGCTTTATACCTATATGTAGTATAATCAGTAGAAGCAACTTAAAAGTTTGATATAAGTGCATGCATGTAGATCTTATCGTATATTACAGTAATGGGATGATATATGAGATAAAATAAGCAGCTGTATCAACCATTGCTTAGGAGTTCATTAGTGAGATTGTTGTAGTACTCGATGCCTTCCTTGTTAATGCCCCCACTTAGCGTTCCACCTAGTAATTGGAAAAAAATTTAAAGTGAATACTTATCTATAAAGAGAAATTAAACTGAGAAAAATATGTTAAACAATAAAGTGATGATTTGTCCCAATCCAATATATGTATCCGGATCATCAACGTTACTTGGTAACAATCTTGACCATGAGATTGAGAACCTATAAGCATCCATCGACATGTTCTTCATAATTTTCACATCGTCCTATAATGACACAAAAGATACAAATAATTATAAGAAAGAATCTAAAAGCTATCACCTTCAATGTCTTCTGTTGTTGTAAGGTTAAAAAAATTAGTCAGTATGTGATTTTGTAACCTGATAAAGGTGATACTGATCAATAGCAACATCTCCATTGCTGTGATCACTGATTTTTTCTGCAATTGTCCATATATAGAGAATACATATCGCAAAAACCATATCATGCAAACTATTATATACAGTAAAACCTTTATAAAGTTATAAAGTTGAGACCAAACCATTTTTATAACTTTAGGGAGGTTATTACTTAATAGAGGTGTAGTTAAAAAATTATTATATTAACCTATTTATCCTTAATGAATATTAAAAAGTACTTAATGAATGTTACATTCCAAAATGTTTCCAACTTCTCAAGAAACCGTAAACATGTTTGGGAAGTTAGAAGCATTTTGCCCTCAACCAAGAAGTTGTTAATGTTGACGAAGTATTACGTACCTGCAAGTTAAAAAACGTGACATCAACTCTAAAAACTAAAGCATTGTCCCAAGCAACTATAGAGAAATATTTTAGTTCATCTTAAACTTTTAATTGTGACATGACATACTCATTGACAATTACTACTACATGGAGGCATGTTTCCTTAAGATGGAAACAAGAAAAATTAAACAATATTATTACAATGTAGAGTTGATTCCTATACATAACTAGTCCCAAGTTGGGACCAAAATTTTAATGACTTTACGAAGGTTATTCCTTTGTAGAGTATTACTTATATAGATTTTATCTAATAGAGATGAGACTCACATGTGTTGATGGACTCCATCTATATTAGAGAGATAGTACATATATGATATGAAAAAAATATAGTAAATGTGGCATTATTCATTTCCCAATATGCCTCGTCTATAATATTATCCAAGTGAAATATCGGTGCAATGTATACCAAAAGGTCGTATTATAGAATGGAGGATTCCGTTGGCATGAATAGCAAACATTTTCTCTGTGAACTGGGATGGAGAGGGATTCGAATTTGTATATATTCCACATTTGAAAAAAAAAAAAAAAAAAATCTACCGTATAAGGGATGGCTAACTTCATGAGTTATTGGCTTGTTTAGAATTAAAAGACGTGAATCTAATGACCGTGCTGCCATGAGAAAAGGCCATGAAAGGATTTGGAAATAAACAAATATCAGGGGAAAAGAATGACACCTGCAGAGATACAGAGGCAGAAAAAATTTATTTAAAAAAAAAACAAATTGAATAGGATTCTCTTCCCCTTCTTTTTTCTCTCCTCTTTCCTCCCCTTCTATTTGAATGGTCTCGGTTAAACCACGTCAACATTTTATATAATTTTTTTATAGAAAGAGAAAAACAAAATAGAGAATGCGAGATCCCACATCGACCAGGAGAGAGGAGGTGATGTGCTTTATATATACATGTCCATGGACAGATCCATATAGGAACCTGGGAGGTCCCGGGACTCTTCGGGAGTCCGAAGAAACACTTGTGATTGACCTTTGGGACCCTCCAATAATTTGGGCAGGTGCAACGGAGAGGCTAGTTGTCTCCATGGATGTGCATGCAGCAGTGCTTATAAAGAAGAAGAAGAGATTTCTAATTTTTGTTTTAATCCTCCAAATCGTTGCAATCTCCCAACTTTAAACTCAAGTTACCCCATCCCCTAGCACCATTTGTCGTTCCACCACCTCTAGCGGCCTAATTTTATTTCTTCCAAATTCATTTAAGTTTTTTAATCCTAAACTCTAGCCTCAACTCCCAATTGTAATATATGTTTTACATTAACAAATTTCATCTTTGTAAAGTCATTTCAGCTTTCTCCTGGCCACAGTCAAGCAGACTCACTAGCTTAGAGTCTTGAACTCGGGACCTCCATGTTTTTTGTATTTTAAGAGCCGAAATCCGTGCCCTTACCACTTGGCCACTTGATGTGGTTGATTAATTTTGATTATTCAATGAACCAAATTCAATAAAAAATAGTGCTATGGAACTAAACTAGTCTAATATTTTTTTTTTTTTGAACTTTTATCTTGGGACTCCCCGATCTTAAAATCCTGAATCCGCCACTATACATGTCCACCTTCTTATAGTAGAACGCATTTTGAGTGGAAACCCAAGAACAAAACCTTGAGGGCGTGGCTCAAAGCAGACAATATCTTACTATGTGGACTGGGATGTGACAATTTGGTATCAGAGCCACTCCACTGTCAAAAGTGTGCCGACGAGAGCGTCGGGCCTTAAAAGGGGGTGGATTGTGAGATCCCACATCGTTCAGGGGGAGAGGAGGTGATGTACCTTATATGTACATGCTTACCTCCCTACAGTAGGATCCGTATTGGGTGAAAACCCAAGAACAAAACCGTGAAGGTTTGGCTCAAAGCAAACAATATCTTACTATACAGACTGAGATGTGATAGAGAATGTGAGCCATTAGCTTAATTTCAATAATTTAACTAACTGTTTATTTTGATTAGACAACCTGGATATTGGTGGGTGAAGTTATCCCACACGCTCGGTCCTCTACCACTTTCATTCCAAGCACCTTCTACCTGAAATGTATATACATATATAGGTAAAATGTCTTGATCATCTATTCTAAAATTGAGGAAGGATTACAGTCAAATTTTTGCCCCTTGATTTTGCTTTATTTACACACTGCTGCCACCAAATCTGTGTTGGGCTGGGGTAATTACTAAAAGTTAGGAGGGTAATATTGTCCGAAGGTTTGGGTGCCCTATGCCTGATTTGGGCCTATTTTGGGTTTGCTGGTTTTGGGCCAGGTGTGGGCTTCAGAAGTGGATTGTCCAATGTGTTGGGCTGGGTTACGCATAAGGAGTCGAAATGACTCTTTTGCCCGCTTCAATCCAGATCCAACGGACAGGATCTGGAGGCGCTTTTGTCATTTAGGATGTGGTTGCTGTTGATGTTGTAAGGAAGACAATTTTAATTGTGATGGACACAAGTGGTACAACACATATTTTAATAGAAGTGATGAAAAATTTTATTTTTTTAAGTGGTTAACTTTTTAATATGCGTATTTCACTATTTATACGATAAAAATAAAACGTGATGTACCAACAACCGTGTAGCGATGACTTTGAAAAATCTCTGATCATCAGAGGCGTGGTTCACAGAGGGGTTGATGGGTTGCAGGTAGAGAGAGGGTCGACGGCAGGGGTTCCAGGTGGACAGAGTGGGGTTTGGGTGCGGGATAACAGGGAGAGAAGGTGAGAGGGTGTTTGAACCCTTCAATCCCTGCTTTGCAATCTCCGTTGTTCACCCCGCCTTCTCATCTAGAATGGTATTTCCACCAACCAATGAAGTGCCCGGAGTTTGAACATGAAATGCCCAAGAGGCCGCCCAGTGCAAGGTAACTTTTCTCTTTCTACTTTTCTGGGTGAAATGTCAATGTGGGTTCGACCTAATTACTGCAATTGATAAATTATTGGTTTTGGTTGATGGTTTACCTTGCGCTGGGTTTTAATGAGTTTTTCTTATGGGTTTTGCTTGCATTTGGTTTTGGTTGATGGCAGGTATATTTGATCTCCGTTGCACACCTCTGCCTTCTCGTCGCCGTCGCACACCTTACCAGAACTTGAATCAATGGTAATGTATAAATTGTATGGATTTCGCGCCTATTTTAATCTTCGTTAACGAAATTAGCCTTTAAGTTGAATAATTCATACTCTTTTGATATTGGAAATTAGGCTCTGATTTCTCAGTCCTATCCTTCTTTGCTGTATAAGATGAGTTTGGGTTATATTACTCAGAAACGGGAATTTATTTATTTATCTTCAGTAAGAGAGTGAAAATCCTTAGCCTTTAGATTTTCAAGTATTTTGCCGGCAATAATAATTTGTTTTTGCAGCTTTATATGTGTGTCTGTCTCCAAATATAAGGATCTCTTAATTTGCTTATGTAGCTTTTGTAATATGAGGTTCTCTTAATTTGCTTTTGCATATATTCTTTGCTTCCTCTGCTAGCTCTATGTGTGATTCTATCTCCAAATAATTATTCCATATCATTGAATACACATGGAAAATTAAAAGGGTTTTAGTTTTTGGATTGGTTTAAATTTTTTTATTGTTATTGGTTGTATTGCTATCAAATATTTGATGGCAAGTTTGAAATGAAGAATTTGGTTGATTGGGGCAGAGAGAATCATACAGCTGCAGACTCTAATTTACTGGCTTCGAAATGAAGAAGTTATTTCTCGGTTCACTTCCGCAGCGTAAACCAACTTCTCAGCTCAGTTCTCAGATATGAGGTTTCTCAGCTACCTCTTTTCTGTAACGAAACTTTTGAATAGTACTCGCTGGGACATCCAATTAATCAGGTCAGTTTTTGTTTAATTGGGATTCTTAAATTTGATATTAGGGATTTTAATTTGATTGGGTTTTGGATTGCATTGTACACTGTTTCGGGTATCTTTAGCAAAATAGGATGTTTTTTTGGGGATTCTAGAAGTTTAGCTGAACGCTAATTTTAAATTTCTAACCCCTGTGGTGCCTCTCTCTATTTGAGTTTGAGTTGGGGATGGTGGACAATGAGCAATTCGAAGATTTATCGCAGTGCAACTTGTCATTTCCACGGACCACCATAATACTGGCTTACGTTTTTCTTCTTTTTTCTTTGCCTATAGTAATATTATTGTTTATTTCCAAGGGTCCTGAGTTTGTCATTCAGAAGAGATGCTTCATTCAAAAATAGAAATTTCCCAAATTCTTTGTTAATAGTTGTATCCCTTGCACAAGCATTTAATTTTCTTGGATGTATACTTTTGAGCTTTAAGTTTTCATGTATGCAGCATTACTAGACCAAAAAAAGCAGAGTGTCGTGGAGTAAATGACTGTTTCTGTTCTTTTTTTTTTTTTTTTTTTTTTTTTTTTAAATTTTATTTATGTTGAATTGACAAGTAGTTTAAAAAAAAAATCTAATTAAAATGGCTTGAAAATTTTGAGTTTTAACGATAAGGACAAAATAAAAGGTAAAGTGAATAGTATCAAGATTTACTTTTTAGTGTAAAAATATGATTTTTCGTTAAAGTAAACAGTACCAGGAGCTTTTTGTTAAAGTTTTTTTTACCGGGTTTAGTTTATGTGTTTGGTTTGAGAGTAAATTCAGAGAGCTAAAAGGCAGTAAAGTTTGGATTTGGATCCTCTCCTGAGCTAATGGAGAGGATCCTCATGACCAATTATTGTGGCCGTTGGATTTTTATCCAACGGCTACAAACAGGGGGGTCTCTTTAAAGTTATAATAATTGTAGCCGTTGGATAAAAATCCAACGGCCCATGATAATTGGTCAAGAGGATCCTCTCCATTAGCTCAAGAGAGGATCCAAATCCGTAAAGTTTGACTATTTACGTTTAATGTTGTTTTGGGTTTGGATTAATTTTGTTTGTTTGATATTAGAAATTGAGTGAGAGGGAATTCGCACTTTTCTCCCTTTGAATAGCGTTTAACTCATTTCTCATTTTCTGTTTGGTTTCCGAGAAAATCGAGGGAAAAAAGGATAGAAGATTAATGAATTCACTGGATTGAGTGCTTTAAGTCTATTTATGATTGAAGTTATTCCCTTTGCTTTCATTTCTGTTTTTGTTCTTTTGGGTTTCGAGCACGTTGAGGCGAAGATCATTGATCATACTTTCTTTCCTTATCAATTATTTTGATTTTGGAAGTCTACTTTGTTTTTCAGCTTTAGTGCTTGGGAGAAGCGAAAATGTGATTTCATGTATGGTGGTTGTATTTGTCTATCATTTGAAAGGAATTCAAACAGAGAGAGAAAGGAGAAGGTAGGTTTGTTGTCAGTGAGATTGAAGGATGGTCTGATGTAACCTTGCAGGTGAACTATATGCTCACACACCCTCATCTAATGGAACCTGTAACTGATATCTGTATTGTGACTCCGTTCGTACCGTCTTTGTAGTGCATCTTTTTGTGTAAATTATTCATGCATGTTGTGGACAAAGGTTTCAAAACCCGCAGCGAAGCGCAGACAATTTTTCTAGTTAAAACTAAATTAAACCCACGTATAATTACATGAGACAGAAATTAAAACAAATTAGAGGGTAAGTAGTTAAGCCGTAGAAGGAACTAATAACCTGATAAGCTGCTGAAGATGTGCCAAATATGAACCCTGGTACAAGAGAATCGAAGCTGCTTCTTTTAAGAGAGTCACAGACAATGGGTGGATCTGTGTTAGCAGCTTTGCTATTTGTCAGTGCAAAGTCAGTGAGTAGCACAACAAATAAGAACAAAGAGCCCAATTTCATAGCCATAAGTAACTGGAAGGTATTTGGTGATGTAGGGTAGGTTTGCCGCTTCCCTGCATATTGCATGGGGTTTATATAGAGGGGACGTTCGTGCTACACTTGAAAAACTGGATTTATAAATAAACCTATAAAATATGAAGAAAAAAAAACATAGTCAAATCACAACAAAATCCTTTAAATCGGGTTTATGGGTTTATAAATAAACCTATAAAATATGAAGAAAAAACAAAGTGTTTTGAAAAAAGGATTGGAATAAAGGATGAGCATAAAAAAAAGGTTATTAGGCATTGAATTCTCAGCCTATGTCAGACTAAATTACCATAAAAGATTTTTTATTTATCACAAAGTCTTGACTTAAGAATTTGTCTATACATAACAATAAATGCCAATAAGACAAAAATATGCAATGTCACAATAAAAATTCAAATATAAAATACAATATTTTTCTAAAATTGTCCGAGATAATAATTTCTTCTTTAGAATAGTTGTCATGTCTTTAAGCTTGCCAGTACTTAATAACTCATTAAAATGAACACTATGTTTATGAAGTCAAAATGTTTCTAACTGCTGGATCATGTTTACAGCTTCTTGGAGTGAAACTTTCGATATTTCTCAATATCTACATCTTTGACACACTCCACTATTAATGCAGGAGTTTGTATCGATAGATTTTCATTAAGAATAATTAAGTGAAATAAGTTAAGTAAAAACACAATAACTACACAGCTAATCAATTTAATTGGATTCCAACATTACCATACAAAAATTTAGTACCAAAAAGCTATGCAAAATTCAAATAGAATTATATTAGTTTTTTAATGCTTCAATCCGCCAAACGTTGCTTGCTTTACATTTTATTTCTCTTCTATTAAATAAGAAAGGGAAGGACTCGGATCCCTTCCTTCTAATCCACATAATCAGGGAATTCGTGTCGTTGAAATTTGATCCAACAGTTGAAATTATTATAACTTTTAAAGTGGGTCCCTGTGTGTAGCGTTGGATCAATTTTCAACGGCACGAATTTCCTGATTTGGTGGATTAGGAGGAAGGGATCCAGAGAGGATCCCTTTCCATAAGAAAGCATCCAAACCCCAATAGCGACAGCTACACTCGCATCCCATTCCCACCCCTCCATCATTACCCTAAGCCACATACGCCCTAAATAAAAATAGAGAATATAATTCCACCTCCATGACTTCTTTGGTGAGGAATTTCTTTGCCAATAAATTAAAGGAAAAAAAGAAGATGAAACAGAAAAAAGGAAAAGGAGTGCTGGTTCTGATTCCTTATGCATTTTCCTCCTTTTCATGAGGTTGTTTACGCTGGACCCGGAGAAAATTACTTTATTTATGCTGGACGGACCGGATGCTTTGATACACGTTTTACACGACGTGATATATACTGATCCTGCTTAGGGCTTTTGAAAAATTTCATTGATGGCAAGCACATCCGTTGCTCTTTCCTGACGGGAACTTATGGCCTTGGGTGAAAAACTTACTTGTTCAATTGTCTAGTAGCTAGCCATACAAGCCAACTTGAAACCAGCGTGAGATTCTAATTAATCAACGTTTTCAGGCCAGTACAAGTAAAGTACGATAACTATAATCCGTCTCTTCAGTATTTTTTGAGGTTCCACCAAAACTAAAAAACAATAGAGGGAGTAATTAAACTCTTTACAACCACATGGAAGATCCCTTAATTCCTTGACGTGAAATTTACACTAACAACAAAGTTAACTTTTGAATTGGAGTGCCGTCACCATGCGCAAGGTATACTTTGTTGGAATTAAACTCTAAAGTCCAACTCTAATTGGTATGTATAACTTTATCCGAGATAAATTAGGGTTAGTGTTGTATTTGGCAGCTATTTCTTGTGCCACAAGTAATAGTGATATCCGGTTTTATAATTACTAACACTATGTTTGGGTGAAGAAATTTAAGATTACTAAGGAATTTAAAAATGACGGAAATTGAAATGACGAGATTTTATTTTCTAGAATTTGTAAATTTTCTTGTTTGGTTAACCTAAAAGAACAAAGGAATTGAATACAGAATTTGTTATTTTTAAACTCTCAATCATAGAAATTGAGAAATGACGCCTATTTACATGGAATTTGAACTTGGGATTTGGAGGTCCCAAATTCTAAGTTTTTTTTCTATGCGGAAATTCTAAATTTCTATACTTATGAATCCAAACAAGAGAATTGGTGCCTGTTAATTTATAAATTCTGACTTTTACCAAAATTCCATGTTTATTTCCCTCATCCAAACATAGTGTAAGGCAATAAGGGATTCTTGTAAAAGAAATAATCCTATGGACTTTAGTTTTCTAGTTAGAGGCTCATTAGGGTTTCTTGAATCCTAGAAGCATTGATCACTATATAAGGTAGAGGTCTCATGCATAGTTTTTTCACAATCATAAACCCTAGAACTCCCATCATGACTAATTAAAGAGCAGGAGTGCAGAAGAGCCTTCACCTACCCTAGTCCTTGTGTTCGTGTTTTCTCTGCTAAGGTCAATATGTCTTCTTCTTAAGTAATTATGGTGTTTTGATAAGCATGAAACATATTAGAGCTTACATACTTCACACGACTCTTATGTCTGTGAACCATTCGTTGATTGTTCACATACACCCTTCTGCAGCGTTACATTCCTCCCTTGAGGAAATTAGCTGAACTGCTATTTGTGAGTGACTCTAAAATAAAATTAGCCAAGAGGCATCCACAGCAAACTCAATACCGACTAGATCGCATAGCCTAGACGGAAATCAAGGTTGGAGCTCGGGTTGCAACCACTCCACTGATCACTCACCTGGATGATGATGAACCACCAGATCAGCTTCTCAAATTCCTCCATTATAATTTATCGACCTATCTACCGACTTCCATTAGAAGGCAAAGAAGCCCTTCTAATGGAGCAAAAGATCCCTTGCACTGCGTATCATATATCCTCATCAAAAAGAAATAATATGGCTTTTTAATTTCCACATCAACCAGCAATACATTTTAAGGGAAGGTGCAATTTTTATATTTCACCGTTGCGGACAGTAGCTACGTTCCTACAACAATGGGCGATGCATATTCTCATCCCTACCTAGCAAGAGGCTTTTTGGGAGCTCACTGGCTTCGGGTTCCATGGGAACTCCGAAGTTAAGCGAGAAGGGGGCTAGAGCAATCCTATGATGGGTGACCCACTAGGAAGTTGCTCGTGAGTTCCCAAAAACAAAACCGTGAGGGAATGGTAAGCCCAAAGCGGACAATATCGTGCTACGGTGGTGGAGCGGGCCGGGAAGTGATCTGTCTCGGGCCGGGATGTGGCATTGGGTACATTTTATTATTATATGTATAAATAAAAGGTAAACTAGCATTGAATAAAAAAAAATTATTTTTTATGTAGGTACATTATTTTGCATCTATCATGGGTTTGCTTTATTATGTAGGTAAATTATTTTGCATGTACTTTACATTTATTGGGTAAATTATTTTGCTTTTTTTAAGCATCTAAAATTTTAGAATTTGAACAGTAGGTGCACTAAATCAAATAACATTTTTTTGTACGTAAATTATTTTGCATGAATTTTTACGATATCAGGTATGTTTTTTTTTTTTTGTTATATATGTGTGTGTGTGTGTGAAATTTACCTACATTTATATGTAAAATATAATTTGGTTGACTAAACAAAGCACGTATTATTACACATATTAGGCATGTCTTATTGTTATTATATATTAGGCAATTAATTTTTTATTTTTTATTTTTGTAAAATCATTAAATCTTTCTTACAATCCTTATAGAATTAATTGTGTACATCAATCCTTCAAATAGGGGTATTTTAGGCATAAACTTTTTAAATGTGTAAAGTCAAAATATAATTAATGAATTTTGCTAGTGTGGAATCTAGTCAATGGGTTTTATTGGAGTAAAAAACTTATGTTGTGTTTTATGTGGAGAAAATTAAGTTTTAGGGACTAAAGTCATATTTTCAGTTTAATCTATATATTACATGAGTCTTGAAACTTAACCTTATCTAGTGATTTTTTTGTTTTAATCTACCTATTACACGAGTCTCAAAACTTAACCTTATCTAACAGTAATTAAAAGAAGTGTGGGCTATTGGGATTCGAAATTTAGCAATAATCAATATTGTGGTGAGCAATAATATTTCCTAGAGAAAAATTAGCTTCAAGGGAGTAACTCAAAGTTGCTATTAGTTTTGTTATAACTGATAAGAAATTGCTTTCATAAACAACTGGCCAGCCAAAAGCCACAAAGGCAATACAAATACAGTAGGGAGTATATAAACAACATATAAATTATAAGGTAGTTTCCAACCAAATTCACAAAGGACGAAGATACCTTTGTCATAAATTCAACAGGCCCGGATACACCACCAACATAAAGCAAAACTAAAATAAAAAACCACATGAAGAGACAACAAACTCGTAGTAAGTTGTTGCTGCAACTTATTCTTACTCGCATAATGAGTCAAACAGAAAACAGAAAACTAAAAATTGAAAAACAACTTGGACAACAACTCTGGTGGATTCGTTGTACTTTATTCATCATTTGGGATTCAAACTTGATAGACAAGCATGATGTCCTCAGCTTTATCATCCAAAGAAATTTTTATCTTTTTCGTGTTTCTTTGGCTCTTCTTCAAGAAAGTTTTGAACCAGTTCGCCGAGCGTTTTGGGTACCTTGTCAGTCCACCTTCATAGTCCACATAGTTGAGACCAAACCGACTGCGATATCCCTCTGCCCATTCAAAATTATCCAGAATTGACCATGCAAAGTATCCCTTTACTTTAGCACCCGATCTGCGCACACGCATAGAAAACAAAGAAACCAATGCATTGACATATATGGATAATTAAAGCTTAAAAAAAGTAAGAAAGCATATATGTGTATTATACATATGGCCTTATTTAATTCCTTAACAAGTACTAACTGAATTGCTGCTTGAAGATGACAAAGGTGGTCACGATAGTAGTTGACTCTTATGGTATCATTAAGTACTTGCTCAAGTGATAAGCTGCTATTGGTAAACTCATCGACGCCTGCAACATAATGAATTATCATATGCGTTGAGTGTTTTCTCCAAATAGAAATTTGCATTTAGTTTTGAGTTTAGACTTTAAAGCACCTAATTATACATATATACATCTATGAAATGTTGATAATGCAATTAAGGCTTGAAAGCATCGCGCTTACCATTTTCAGTAATATAAATGGCTGGGTCATTATAATTTCTCTTGGTATAAAGCATAAGATCGTGAATTCCTTTTGGATAAATATATAACCAATCTGAAGCAGCCTACAACACCATTTGAAGATAATTGAAATTCTTACAAGTTATGCAAAAAAAAAAAAAAAAAAGAAGATATTAATTGTCCAAATGCTAAAAATTTTAAGTTCA